AACGAAATTTTAGGTCAATCTCTGGTGACTTGTGTGATTGGGCATGGTTACACTAACAGCCACTTAGGTCTACAGGCTCCTTCAAAAGGTGCAGCTAAGACCAGAGAAAGGTCAGTCAGGTTAAATCAGGGGTTTTCAAAGTCCTACCATATAGGGCTTTCGGGGATGTAAACAGGAAGAGTAATATTGCCATGGAGTCAGTTAGTTAGCTGTGGGCTACAGCTTGAGTCCTGTTTTATTTTAGCCTATATTTGTTTACATTTTGAAAATTTGGCACCATTAAAAGTATGATGAATTACCTATTAGCATTTCCTCTTTGCAATCTATACACACATCGATCACTGGATTACTTAGATCCTGAAGAAAACACAAGAACTTGACATTTCTCCTGCAAGTTCTGGAGTTATAAGGGTTTTCTTTCTCCAGTTTTTTCTACAACATCCTCAGTTGTGTGTAAGTCACACACAGAATCTAAAAATATGTGTATTACGTTGGTGTGTTAAGGTGTGACTGAGTTATGACTCTGAGATGGAGCACGTTTTTTGATTCAAATTGCAACAATTCCCTTCACACAGTATCTTCCACTCACATTTCTCACTTGGTCTCTTCCCCTTCCACTCTTCTGTCAACCCCTGGGAAGGCGCCCCTCCTGTCTAAATGAATAAAAAACTAGAAATGGCAGGGTGGTATGTGGCCCTATAAAGAAAGAATGAATGTTCATGACTTTTCTACATGATTTTTTATTAAGCAACTAAAAATAAGTCAGGTTTTTAAATGAGCGTTGACAGCAAATACTTGTGACAACATTCAAACAAAATCCCTCTCTGGCCCTGTCTGGCTGGGTTATGAGCTACAAGTTTGGACAAGCCACTCTGCACAGTTTATGGTCACTTGGAGTAAATGGACAGTATGGCACACACAAACTCTTGATGACTTGATGTCGTAAAAGGAGACGCGATGGAAACACACACACACACACACACACACACACACACACACAAAAAGAAGGAGAGATGCACTCTACAGTTAAAAGGTTAACTTGTTTACTTGTGTCTCAGAACAAAACTGTTTGTTTGGAGAAGAAAGGGGTGTTGGCTTGGGCAGTTCAATGAATCATTTAAATAGAGCAACAATCTGTTTCCATGTCTCTCTTCATAACACACCTGCCTCCTAGAAGAAACAGCAGCCATTGTTTTCAGCAACTGGCTCCTCACCACACTTGCTCATTCTGCTCTTGAACCACACCAGAGCCAGAGAATGGGCAATGGGTGATTGCCCAAGTCAGAGTAGATCACTGACAAAAAGATCACCCTACAAAGTGAGAGGAAAGCACAATAAAGACTTGAACTGACTGAACAATTATATTTTTTTACTGATCAATGTATTCCCCGCCTTCAGGAGGAACATTACAAATCAAGGCTTGGTGAAGATATGTGTCATGGAACAGGTTCAAAGTACCACAACGCCACCGCCCTTCCCCTCCCCTCCATACATTTTATTTTCTTATATTACTGAACATTATCCTGTCCCGTCTATCTTCTCTTCAGTGATCCATTCACCAATCTACCCTGCAATCTATTCTTGCGTACTAGGACACGTCGAGTAACATGAACTGCATGAATTGGCTGGTTTCTCTCTTCATGCATTGGTGTGACATTTGACAACTACTCCAAATTGCCACGGCTCCCGTCTGTACGAGCTGAGTCGCAGATGGGTCGAGAAGTCCATGCATGAATAGTGCATCTGAGAATTGTGGTAGGAGTGTGTCTGTGTGTCTGTGTAGCTGTGACCCATCAGGCCTCATGGGAAGCTGCAGCTAAAATGATTGATGCCTAGGACCAACAGAGGAGGGAGGGAGGGAGGGAGCGCTGGCTTAGCCAAGTAGGAAACAAGTGCCTGTACTGCAGCAATGCAGGAGCCAGTGAGAGGGATGTCAATGAGATAAAAAAAGAAAAAAAAAAAAAGTGTTGACTGAGAACAATGCAGTAAACAAATGCCAGACGGCGCAGAAGGCATGGTTAGAGACTATGTTTGCAAGGCTAACAAGTTTACGCAAGCTGATTTTCATTCTACTGGAGTTTTGTTACGGTGTCACCGTTCTGCTGATGTATCCTCCTTCTGCTGCAGTTATGACAATATCATCCTCAGCCCTACCTAGCAGAGACAAGCCTCAGCAAGGAAAAACACTCCCTGCTGAGCCTCCCATGTCTCCTCCCTCCCATGCCCTCTGAACAAACAGCTCTCCTCTGGAGGCTACACGGCAGGGAGAGGGGACACTAGGGACTATCCACTAGCTCCATCTCAGCTCGTTTGTTTCACCCCGTCGCGAACAAGGCCGTGTCTGTTTTTACTTCCCAGCAGCGTAAGTAATGTATACATTGCCTCTGTTCTCATTCACCGACCTTCCCCCCAATGCCTTGCTGAGTGGCCTGCTGCAGTAAAATGTAAACACAGTCCGAGGGGAAGCCTCTGCTCATTTTTCCCTGTGCATCTCACCCCACCTTATACAAACCTGTGCCTGCCTGCCTTCTCCATTTCATATAGCCCAATGACACATAAATACGCATGCACCAACACAAAGGAAGCACACTGAACATACACTCGCTCCCATGCATGTAACCGCAGACACACACGCGCGCACACACACAGAAAGACAAGGAGTCGAGCTAATGCACTGCTATCCACAGCAGAAGGATTGCAAGCACTCAAGGAACAAATATCCTGTTCTCATCATAAAATTTTCATCCTGTCCCAAGCCTGTTGGTGGGCCAAGCGCATTTCCTGGTGAAAAATATACACACTTAACCTTGAGCTGATCTTTTTAACATAATGCGTCTGCTTTATTGGATTCTAGCAGGACGTTACTCACAGGAATATCAAGTGCAAAGAGTTGTGGTCTGACCAAGCCAAGTTGGAGAAGAGATGAAGGACAAAGTGGCAGCGCTGAGAAGTCCTTCTGTCGGATCTTATGACTGGCCGTCATGCTCGATTGAAAGGACACTGCTTTGACGCCTTGTGCTGAGAACATTGCGACTGTGTCTTACTGTTCCTCAAGGAACAAAGTACATTTACACATAGATATAAAAACATGCAGATTCTGACATGCATGCACACACTCTCTTTAAGTATGCTCTTAATAATTACAGGATCACAAGCTACAAGCTCATCCCCGAGATTAACAGGTCCTTCAAGTGCTCAGACAGAAAAAGTGGAATTAAACATCTACAAATAAACAAAAGGAATATATGTAAGTTTTTGACACACTGAAAATATGAACTTCAATCCAAAGTTCCAGAAGAGGCTACTAAATGGACCTTGACAGCTGCTGTTTACAAGGTCAGAAATGAATTATTACCATTTTCTTAGCATAAAATCCAAAGTGAGTTCATAAATCTACGTAAGATCTACGACAACATGTATGAATCATTTGTGTTCATTTGCACCTGTTATGTACCACACAAACCTTCAAGCTACACACTAGCTATGTGGAACAACAGATATTTCAACAAATTGAAGACTACAACACAAATCAAACTGACAATGTGATCCAAAAACAGACAGCAATAGTCAATAAAATTTATAACTGAGGAGGAAATTAATTTGGCACTGAGTCACATACACAATAAAAGAGACTCGTTCATTATTTTGTCAGATGACACATTTCAATCTAAAATCGCATATGGATACCAGGCAGCTGTAAGCGTATTAAACGTCTGCGAATCAATTAAGTATATTATGATAAGTTATGTGTATATAATTTGCATGATCTGATGTTAAAATGACACAATAATGTGGTGCTACCCATTATTTGCAACACTTGTATTTGCATGCACACAAACAACCATTAAGTTTCCGTTTCACACACATGCTTTTGATAAGTTTTCACAGTTTTTTTTCACATCAAAGTCACATGTCGCAGATACAGCTTGTTCTCTGCTGTTACATGGCACACTGCATTAGCAAAACTTGCCGGTGTTTATAATCCAAATACACACTTGTCAAAAATGTTGATTTACAGGCCGTATTTAGGTTTGATGTGAAACTGGTTTCATATGGCAGCACACACTGCTTCATGTCAACAACACTGAATCAAGGTAACGGCACCGCGGTGGTGAGGCTGCTTTGAACAGTGGAATTTTTGAATACATTTAAATAGATTTCTTCTGGAAATGGCTTTATCAAAAGGCTGCCACCCAGTGACCTCATCAACCTTCAAAGGATTCTCCCCTAAACAGGTTTTGCATGCTCATCACTAATAAGCTGAAAATTATGGAAACAACGGCAAATTACTCCTAGTCAAAACAGGTGGTGAAGGATTATTGGGAGAGCAGTTTTAGTAGTTAATATCAATCCAAAAACACATCTGGACCGAGAATGCCAACAGAAAATATTTTGCGTTTGAGTGTGGGGTTTAGCACAGAGTGCTTTATTCTTTCAGCATTTAAAAGATCACAAGGGAATAAAACTAACCATTGCTGCTGACATCCTTTGGGCATCCATTGGCAGCTTGATGCAGAATGATGCAAGTTACACTGACTGCCAATATACAATTGGCTAATATTGATTGACAATCTGAAATCTCGGCCTCGTAATGACACAACAATATTCTGACTGGGCTTTCCAAATGACTTTAAAAACTGCAACAGGGTGATGACGACGTCAGAAAGTGCTGACAATGCTGATGCTACAGCAGCTGCTGTCAATACAATTAAGAGGCTCTGGATTCATGTACAGCTGCAACGATTAATCAATTAGTTGTCAACTCCTCTATGACAGTAAACTGAATTTCATTCAGTTGTGGTCAAAACAAGATATTTGAGGGCATCATCATGGGCTTTGGGAAACAATGACATTTATCACCATTTTCTGAAATTTTATAGACCAAACAACTAATCAATGAATTGAGGAAATAATCGCCAGATGATTTGTCCAAAATGAGACAACCTGTTGTTTTCAATTCCTGTGTAATACCCACAATTCATGCATGCAGACACACTAACCTGTGGAGACAGGGCAGTGGGAGGCTGGTTGAAGAGTGTGGAGTGGGCTCCTGACCGTAGGCCATGTGCTCTCCTGACAGTCTGACGGGCGAAAGGAGCAGACAGTACCTCCTGCTGAAGACACAAACAGACCAAAATATCAGGATGGGTGAGCATCATCGTTAGCTCAAAGTGAAAACTAAGTGTCTGGGATAATCACAACATGAATGGAAAAAGGCTAACCTCATGCTATTTCCAAAACAGCCAACATCAGGAACAAGAGTGTGCTACTGTTAGAGGCTTAAAATAATGAGGCGTGAAAGTGGTAATGGTGTTTTATTTCTATTCCCGTCACAAGCCATGGCAATTTCCTTTTTGCTGCAATTCAAACAAACCCTGTAGTCAGAGTTGTGCATGCAAGACAGTGGAACTGTCATATGAAACTTCTTGTGTACACTGGGGAAAGTATGTGAGGCAGCCTTCTCTCCTGCGACTGTCAATCTCTGATTGACAGTCGCAGCCTGCAGCTGCTCCACACCAAACCCAAGATTAGCGGTGATTCACTACATATGAATAAGGTTGCTTACAAGCTGACTGTTATCATACTAGAGAAAAAAAAACACAAAATAGGATTGCTTTGATGTTTCTGGTAAAAAGAGAGATTTTCAACTGTGTGTGTGTCTGTGTGTAGGCAGGTGTAGACAGAGGGTCACGGTAGACTAGAGTGACTAAAATACTTTCACCTTCAAGTTAGTGTATGCACTCAGATGTTCCCTACCTCCCAGCACTAAGGAGAGATAAGATGTAGATAAAGTGGTACACTCTGCCATTATAAACACTGACAGCACCTTGACTGCACACACCGAAATAAAACTAGTGCTAACCATAAAATACTTACATTAAACCCATCTTAGTGGACCTGTTCAGCCTGCAGGGGGTCTGATCACAGACCCTGTAACAATACAAGCTGCTCAGTACTTTAACACTTCACAAGCCTGCTCTCGGCATTCTACGGTAAGCAATAACAACCACAAAGGTCAGGCACGGCGCTAACATTTTCAAAACCATCCACCCTCACCAGTACATTAAAGAGGCAACGCTGTCAAAAATGTAACAGTTAGGACCTGATTTACTCAGATTGAGTGAGTTTGAAAATGGGTGCGAGACAGCAGGTTCAAACCGTAAAACATACAATTTTGCTTTGCACCTGCATTAAAATAACAAGCAAGGAGTCTGCAAGGAGTGCTTTTTAACCACTTAGTTTTTTTGACCATATCTGAGCTAAAAGTATTTGTCATAAGTGAAAATACAGATCTCCTTGCACCAGTGTTTACAAATACACACAAACTGTGATTAAATGTATAATGTAAGAATTGGGTTGACATTTGAGAAATACTCCTTCAGATATTGATATTGATATCTAAAGCTCACTAACTGACACATTATACCTTGTACAAAACAAATGATTCTGGCACACTTTTTGGCTGGGTGCAGTGACTTTCTGGAGTCTCCGCTGGTTGGCTGGTGATGACGTGAAGTTGGCTGCCGGCAGTAGCTTGATATTTGGCACACAGATATGAACTGCAATAAAGCCAATACTCATGTTTCCCAAAATGCCAAACGATTCCTTCAAATAAATAAATACTAGGTGAATTTAATTAATTGCTTTATAAATTGTAAGCTATCTTTCGGTCACTCCATTCTCTAAACTGCTTCTCCAGGGACACAGGAAGCTGGAGCCTATCCCAGCGTGCACTGGACAAGAGGTGTTGTACACCCAAGAAAGGTTGCCGGTCTATCACAGAACTGACACTCACACTGACACTTACATTCACAACCACAAGCAGTTTAGAGTGGCCAATTTAACAAACATGCATGTTTCTGGACTGTGGCAGGAAACCCACGCAGACACAGGGAGAACGTGCACATAGAAAGGACCCGTTTGGCTGGTGGATTCCAGCTGTGACATGACAGAGAAAACCACTAAGCCACCATGCTGCCAGTAAATGTAAGCTACACTATTATTTAATCAATAGTAATCACTGAAAAAGCCTGTAATAAGCAGGCTGGCACGAGAAAGGCTTGTTATAGCAGTAATTCTCTAATAACATATCTGCTGTGTCCTTTCCGCTGTCAGAGCTCCAATCTATGAATGGACCACTGCTTAATGCCTTCTCTCTCTACATGTTATTACACACACAATTACCTTTCTTTTAACGACTTTCAGCCTTTGTAAATTACATTTGACAAGCAAGGACAGCGCTTGTCTTGTGCCTGTTTGACTTTTTGCCAGTGGTAACTAAGAACACTTCATTAAATTAGGTGTCTCGCTTCTCTCAGATAAATATATTCCATAGAAGACTAAAGCGATTTTACTTCTCAGCAAGCAGACCCGCAAAGGTCCAGGAGGAAACAGTCAAGCTCAAACATTAGCTACCCTGGAGAGGTGCTGTGATAACCAGCATTGATGACATTGCTTTCCCTCCAGCTCTCACTTTCCACAGCTACAAACATGCTGAATTAATTTTTGAAAGAATTGTTGAGGACAGTTAATGAAACACACTTCCCATGGTTCATAAACGTGTTTGACACCGACTTTTCAACACAAACTAGAGCTTTCAAAGACTCTCAAGAGACATTCAAACACAGTGTCCTCAACATTAAGGTAGTCAGTGGACCTTGGTACTAAGATATTATGTTGCAGCACGATTATTGCCTCTTCCTTATCAATGACAAGTCAGGCATAGAGCATCAACTCATAGGAGGGGCCTGTATTCAAGACTCCAGTGACTATAAAAAGTGTCCATGCACTGCCAAGAGAGTCTCCTAATGTCTGTTACTGTGGAGGAGGAACAGCATTTGTCGGATTGTTTGAGGCTGTGACGTGGGATATTTACTGAAGCTAGGTCTGTGCCAAGCAACCAAACTGACTCATTTTCATTCTGGCAATGAATTCAAGCTGCGGCAATACACTTACAGAATAATATGGCTGTTTGGGTCAATAAGCTCCCGTTCAAAAAATACACTACAGGTTTTACTTACTGTGCAATAAGTGAGAGTGTATGTAACAATATAAAC